CACAAGATGTTTGGGACGAACTCAAATCCCGCTATGCTTTATCTAGTGGTCCTAGGGTTTTCCAACTCGAAAAATCCCTAAGCACTATTGATCAGGGTTCTCTTTCAATTACTCACTATTATAACAATTTCAAATCATTGTGGGATGAATACATTACCTATAGACCTATATTCAAATGTACATGTGGTGCTTTTACACGCTGTTCATGCAATATTTTTGAAGCTATGACCATATCACAGCAAAATGATTCTGTTCTGAAATTCCTAATTGGACTTAATGACTCTTACTCATCCCTCAGAAGTCATTTCCTATTATCCAGTCCATTACCATCTCTGTCTACCATATACTCCCTTCTCCTTCAAGAGGAAAGCCAGAGAACTCTTTCTAATACCAACAAAACCATTGATCCCCTTGCCACGCTAGCCAAAACACATTCCTACCCATCCAAACCAACCAAACCCAACCAATACAAAGACAAAAACAGACCAAAGTGTACTCATTGTGGCTATCTTGGCCGTACCTATGAAAAATGCTATCAACTTGTTGGTTATCCACCGAATTGGGTAGGCCCTAGAGGCCCTAGAAAGTCCCAGAATACTCACTCTGCCAATGCCACCATTACTGAACAACCTGTCAATGCCAATACATCTCAGGACACTTTTGATGCATCTTCCTTGACTAACAGTTTGTTTAGTGAATTCTTAGAATTTAAAAAGTCACAGGAAGCAAGGCAGATAACTAATACTGCTCCTGTGGTAGCATCTGCATTGGCCCATGCTTCAGGTATCTCTAACTCTATATCTTGTATGGCTGGTAGAGCTTTTAGTAAAAATACATGGATTTTGGATACTGGTGCAACTGACCATATGTTATGTTCTGCTGAATTCTATGATAATCATGTTACACCATCTTCTATTCAAATCAATCTTCCAAATGGAAACCATACATCAGCTTCTGCCATTGGTCATGTTCAATTATCTGCTTCTCTGAAATTGTTTGATGCTCTACATGTTCCTTCCTTTCATTTCAATCTCATATTTGTATCAAAGTTGACTGCACAGAATAATTGCATTATCAAATTCTTGCCTACATCTTGCATTTTACAGGACCTAACAACACTCAAAATGATTGGTTCTGCTGACTTGAGAGATGGGCTATACATTTTGAATCTGCCATGTCCTAACATGTTTCATGACACAAATGTAACTCACACACTTGCACTATCCTCTGATACTGCTGATAAAACTGTAAATGCTCTTACTGATGTAAACTCTCATTTACCTGTAAGCAAATCTCACAATGATACTCTGTTGTGGCATAATAGACTAGGCCATTTATCCATCAACAGAATGAACTCTTTACCTATGTCTCATATTGATACTTCATTCATAAATCCCTGTGATGTGTGCCATTTTTCTAGACAGAAAAGGCTCCCCTTTAATGACAGCAATTCTATTTCTGATTTTCCATTTCAACTTATTCACTGTGATGTTTGGGGTCCTTTTTCTACTGCTTCTCATTCAGGTTATAAATATTTTCTCACTATTGTTGATGATTTCAGTCGTGTCACTTGGGTTTATCCTTTAATACACAAATCAGACACAAAGAAATCACTTATTCATTTAAAAAATATGGTTTCAAATCATTTTCACACAAGCATAAAGTCCATTAGAACTGATAATGGTACTGAATTCATGTTAAATGATTTTTATTCTGAAAATGGCATCATACACCAAAAATCTTGTGTTGAAACCCCTCAACAAAATGCAAGGGTTGAAAGGAAACATCAACACATTCTTCAAGTTGCTAGAGCCATATTATTTCATGCTCATTTGCCTTTATCATTCTGGTTTGACTGCATTCTTGCTGCTGTGCATATCATCAATAGAATTCCAATCTCAGTTTTGAAAAAAAAAAATCTCCTTTTGAAAAGTTATACAACAAGCAGCCCACATATGATCATATGAGAGTAATTGGTTGCCTATGCTATGCATCTACACTTCATGCACACAGACAAAAATTTGATCCAAGAGCTTCAAAGTGCATACTTCTTGGTTATCCCTTGGGTTGTAAAGGCTATATCCTTTACAATCTGGAAACCAAGAAAACATTTATCACCAGAAATGTCATTTTTATGAGAACACTTTGCCTTTCAAATCAAATATCAATCCTGATACTTCTCAAACACTCTTTCCCCCTCCCAGCTCAGACTTCAACTTTCATGACACTCCCTCTACAACTTCTCCTCAACAACAACTAAACTCTCTCCCAATAGCACAATCTCCTCAAATATCACCTCCTCCTATACTATCTACAGACCCTCATCAACCATCATCTATAAATCCCACAACATCTGTTGACCATCACTCACCCTTAAGAAGAACAACCAGAGTTTCTAAACCCCCAGCATATCTCAGTGTATATCAACACTCTTTACCTAAATCAAACTGTACTCAATCATTTCCCTTATCATCCAATTCTCATGACATCTCTGGTACATCTTTATATCCCATCTCACAGTATCTCACTACTGACAACTTGTCTGCATCACATAGTTGTTTTACTGCTTCAATATCTCATGCTACTGAGCCCAAAACATATAAACAGGCTGCTTTAGATCCTCTATGGCAAGATGCCATGCATAAAGAGTTAAAAGCTCTAGAGGATACTAACACCTGGGTACTTACTGATCTTCCTATAGGCAAACATTGCATAGGTTGCAAATGGGTCTATAGAATTAAGTACAAATCTGATGGCTCAATAGAAAGGTATAAGGCTAGACTAGTTGCTAAAGGCTACACTCAAGAAGAGGGGGTAGATTACTTTGATACATTCTCCCCTGTAGCCAAAATAAGCACAGTCAGATTCATAATAGCCTTAGCTGCCATTAAAAATTGGTACACTCACCAATTAGATGTTAATAATGCTTTCCTACATGGAGATTTAAATGAAGAAGTATACATGAAACCTCCACCAGGTTATTGTTCTCCATCAGACAATAGAGTTTGTAAACTCACAAAAAGTCTTTATGGCCTTAAACAAGCCTCAAGACAATGGTTTCATAAATTAACTTCATGTCTTATTTTTTATGGTTTTTCTCAATCAATAGCAGATTGCTCTATGTTCGACATGTCTGATGATACTTCTTTTACTATTCTTCTTGTATATGTGGATGACATCATTCTAACAGGTAATGATCTTCAGAAAATCCAAAACATTAAATCTCATCTTCATTCATGTTTTACAATAAAGGATTTGGGTCAACTAAAGTATATTCTTGGTTTAGAATTTGCTCATTCCACTAAAGGCATCCATATGTGTCAAAGGAAATATGCATTCGACATTCTAAATGATTCTGGCATGCTAGGTTGTAAACCTGCATCCACTCCTATGGACTCAACTGTTAAGCTTTCCATTAACTCATCTTCTGATAAACTGACTGATCCATCTATCTATAGAAGATTAGTTGGCAGATTGCTTTATTTAACTATCAGCAGGCCAGACATTGCTTTTTCTGTCCAAACTCTTAGTCAATTTATGTCATCACCTACTGAAGATCATATGCATGCTGCACAAAGGGTGTTAAGGTATGTCAAAGGCACTCTTGGCAAAGGTATTGTATTTCACAAAACTTCTTCCTTACAACTTAAAGCATATTCAGACAGTGATTGGGCTTCTTGTATAGACACAAGAAGAAGTGTGACAGGTTATTTGGTTTTTCTAGGTAATTCCTTAATCTCATGGAAATCTAAGAAACAACCTACCATTAGTAGGTCTTCTGCAGAATCTGAGTATAGGGCACTAGCTGCCACATCCTGTGAAATTCAATGGTTAACTAATTTAAGCAATGAACTTGGTATTTCACTAACAGCTCCTGTGTCTCTATTTTCAGATAGTAAATCTGCATTAGCCATGGCTTCTAACCCCATTTTCCATGAGAGGACAAAACATATTGAGCTCGATTGTCACTTGATAAGAGAGAAAATCAGCACAGGCCTCATCCAACTCCATCACATTCCAACCAAAGAGCAGCTAGCTGATTTCCTTACAAAGCCATTACCAGGACCTGCATTTCAACATCTCCTATCCAAGATGAACATGATTGATATACATGCTCCTCTTGCGGGGGGTATTAGCATTATTATTTTACATCTTATATTCAGTATTTAGACTTGTATAGGCTCTCTTATATGTAAAGTTGTTAATAGTAAATAGCACTTTTAGTTATTGTACTTATAGTATAAATACAGCTCATCTGGGATATTGTAATCATCGATTTTCATTCTCTCCTTTCTCAAACCCTAATACAATGTTTCTCTTTCTCTCTCTCTGAGTTCATACCAAATCTGAGTTCTATCATTTTACCATAAATAAGATCATGATAAAACATATGAATGTCCTTATAAAATTTTTATAAATTAGAGTTAATTATAAGCAGCTAATTTTCTAAATAATATTTTACAAACCACTGGCCAAAACAGTTGATACAATCCGTTGGTCAAAACATCAGACACAATCTGCTAACAGCTAACAACTAAGCGCTGATTGTTAAACAAAGTCGAACTATCAAGGGTATGTTTGGTAAACTAAATAAGCTAGCTTATAGTTTATTTGATTAGCTTATAAGCTCCTTGTTTAAAAATAAATCTCGTTTGGTAGAACGAGCTTTTTTAAAAAGCTCGAGCTTATTTTATAAGTTCCTTTAGGTAGCTTTTCAAAAAAGCTAGTTGAATTTTTTATTTCAACTAACTTATCAAGCTAATTACTAAACATCTTTTATCATCAAGTCTTCGAGCGCGATCTATTGCGTTTGTTGTCTTGGTTGATGCTAGCGAGTCCAAGCCCACATTGGCGACCATATCTTCTCTACAACCGTATTCAACCTGACAAAAAAACCCACGTTAAAAATTTTTTAACCTGCCTTCAATTCCCTGAAACTATAACCCCTAAAATTACAACCTCGGAGTCGCGAGGCAGCTCACCTATCACTTTTACTAGCTATGGCGGATTCAGCCCCCGCGCAAGAAACCGCCGCCGCCGCCGCCGTCGTCGCCGAGCCTACTACCGTTCCCGACAAACCCGAATCGGACGCTCGACCTGCGCAGCCCGATCTATCTTCCTCTGCGCAGCCTCCGTTTCCCTACCCAAACCCTAGCGCGCCTCAGCCGCCCTCGGTTTTGAATCCTTCTCAGCTCCCGATCCAGCCTTCGTTCCGCCCCGCTTCACCGGCGATTTCAGTGCCTTCTGCCGGAGCCGCGCCGCAGTTCTCTCCTGGTACCTTTCAGAACCCCGGGATCCCGCATCCGATGTTGGCCATGGCCTCGTCCCCGACGGTTGGGAGTGTGCCACAGCAGGTTCAGGTGGCTGCTGTGCATCCAGGGATGGCCCCACCGTATTCCTTGCCCGGTCAGCCGATAAGATATTTGCCGCCGATGCCAAATGGTTTTCCGGCTATCCCGCAGGCTGTTCCCCAAGGTGCATTTCCTCAGGGTCGGTTTTCTTTCTTTTTGCCATACAAATTATCGACCTCTGATAGTCATCCTCTGTCCTTGTTCTATCCACTTAGTTTTGCATTTTCTTTTTAGTGGATTAGGTATATTCAAGGTTATACTACTAATTGATATTGAGAATTGGACTTTTAATTGGAATTCAGTGTCAGTAATTACGAGGCTTGTTAAGCTTCCTAGGATTCATCTCTGAATCCCACTCTTCTGTATATTTTGATTAAAATTAAGAACATCAATTAGTATGCATTCCTAGTTAACGTAGACTATATATTATATATATATTTTCAAATGTGAACCAGAATTGCCCAGTTTCATCATATAAGGTAAGGTGTATTGATGTATTATAGAAAAGGTTAGGTTGAATACGAGAGAAGGGGTTGAAAGGTTGTGTAGGGGTATCGATGACTGGATGTTTTCTCTACAGTTGACTCATGATTGGTTCAATTGGGAAAGGTTGGAAGGCTTCATTAGCGCTTTCTGTCCCTCACTCTTCAACTCCTTTTTTTGGTATGCAGAAATTTATTTGCTTGGTTTCGTTTAGTTCCTTGCATATTTCAGTCTATTGTGAATGAGGAAAATGGGCTTCTAACCAAAATAAACAAATAAATAAATAAAAATCATGTTGCAGGCTGAAAGAAATATGAATTACCCCTTTAGTCCTAACAATATTTGGTTCTTCTGTTTAATTTTTAGAATTTTATTGTAGTAGTAAGAATGTTTAGAGCTTTTACGGGACTTTAATTTTTGAATTGCCGGCAGCAGACTATGCTAACAGTTGACTGCAGCTATACCTCTATCTTTCAAGGTATTACAATCTTCTCAATCATGCAATTGGATTTTGTTTCTCCTCTTATATATTGATGTCTACGAGATTCGTTATGCTAACGTAATTAAAATTCAAGACTGTTAAATAAGTTTTATGCCTGCGATATATTGTTATATTTGAGGATTTGGTTTCCTCGCCGCACTACACAAATTATATCTGCGCCTGTGGTGCCTGCTTTTGGGATATTTTTGACATCTGTTTTGCAAGTGGGATGCATAAGGTATGCCATGTTTACGCATTCCAAACCCATGTATCCAAGTGTTATTTTCTACATGTTCCTTCAGGTTATATGTTCAGCGGATGAGTGTATCATGCCTATGCTGCATTCTCTAATTGCTTGTATAAGTTTGATGACACCGGCGGATTTGGTTTTTTTGAATTTTGAAATGCTATTTGACAATTTGCATAGATTTTTGTGGTCTCTTTATGCAGGAGTTGTTCGTTATCCTTATGCACCAATGGTTCGACCAACATTTCCTCCACGACCATTGATTGGTGTTATGCCACCATTGGCACGCCCTCCTGTTGGCATTCGTGGCCCAGTCATTCCTCATATTGTTCCTAGGCCGCCTGCTACTGTTGCTACAGCAGAAGAGCCACAAACAACTGTTTATGTTGGAAAGATATCTTCAACAGTGGATAACGAGTTCATTTTGTCTCTGCTGAAAGTATGATATGTGATATGTTTCTTTAATTCCCATATTCTCTTTGTTTGGTCATTTCTCTCGCGTATGGTTCTTGCATTGTCAAATTTAGTTTGATTTGAATGCAAGTGATTCTGAATTTTGACAATTTCTGAAGCTTTGTGGCCCTGTAAAGAATTGGAAGCGTCCTCAAGATCCCACTGGGACTTTGAAAGGTTTCGGATTTTGTGAATTCGAGTCTGCGGAAGGAGTTCTTCGTGCACTGCGGCTTCTTAACAAACTAAGTATTGATGGACAAGAGCTTATGGTATTGTCGCATTCTTCTGTAGTGCTGTCTATGTGTACACCTTCACTCAATGTTACCTCTGCTGATTATTTTCTGTAACTTTTTATGCAATTGAGTTAGCTTGGTTCTTCATCGTTAGGTGCAGTTTGAATATCTCATGTTACATATTTGTCTGGTACTGGTAATTTTCACCTTGATATTTGACCTTAGAAATAATTTCACATACAAAGTTGTATCTACTGTGGTTAATATATTTTCAGCTATATCTTGAACTTTCATGGTTCATTTCCTTGGATGTCTATTCTTCCTTTAGATAACATCATCTTAGTCCTTGGAACTAAAAAATAGTTAAATATGTTTTTTTTCTGTCGGCTGATTCTAGTGGACTTGATGAATCTGCAGTTAAATGTAAATCAAACAACTCGGAAATATCTTGAGCGTTATGTAGAGAAAAAAACTGAAAGTTCAAAGAAACAATCAGAAACTGAGGGTGGTGAGAAAGAGGAAGCGAGTGCATCAGGCGCTACTACTAACGAAACAGTGAAGCCCAATGAAGAAAGTCTGAAGCCACCATCGGACGAACGAAAAAAGGACGAGGATGAGATGAACAAGGAAAATAGTGATGCTACAACTTTTGGTCTCGTTACTGATGAAGACAGGGATGCTGACCGCGAGGCTCGTGAGAAGCTCGCAGGCATGATAGAGGAGCGGTTGAAGAACAATCCACTACCACCTCCACCCCCTCAGAGACCCATAGATGGTCCTGGAAACTCGCACTCTGAACAGCCTTCTGGATCAAGGGATGAGGAATCGGAAGGTGATGTGGCAAAGAATAGTGAGTTGGTGACTGATTCAATAGATACTGTCATGTCTTTTATGGTTTTTGTGAACACCGATAACATGCTTTGACTCTGTTTACAGATTCAGAAGACCAAAATGAAGACGATAAGACTGCTGAAAGCAAACCTATGAGCGAGTTTGAGAGGACTGATGGCGGTTCACCTGATAGGAGTAGAAGGCATGATAGGAGCAGAGACCGTGACCGTGAACTGAGACGAGAAAAGGAAAGGGAACTTGAAAGATATGAGAGAGAACGGGAGCAAGAAAGGGCTAAGAGGGAGAAAGACAGAGAACATAGGAGCCGGGAAGATGAACGCAGGTACAAGGCTCGCGAGAAAGAGTGGGAAGCTAGGGAAAGAGAGAGGGAACACTGGCGGAAGAGAGAGAGGGAAAGAGAGAAGCAGAAGGCCCATGAAAGGAAGTGGGAGATCATTGATCAAGAGCATGATGATGATGATGGATATGGAAAGAAGAGGAAATACAAGACGAGCGATGAAGAGAGGAAAAGGAGACAGAGGGAGAAAGAAGATGATTTGGCCGACCGATTGAGAGAGGAGGAAGAAATTGAAGAAGCTAAAATTAGGGCCCTAGAAGAACAGAAGAAACAGCTTGAGGTTCTGAAAACAGAAGAACCGGTTAATAGACATGAGAATGCTGTTTTACCAAATGAATCCAATCATGGAGACCATTTTAATGCTGATCAGACCGTTGATCACAAACTAGACCATGGTGCTTCTGAAGGTATATTTTTTGGCTCAATGTTATGATTTTTAATCATTTTTATGGCCTGCCTACTTGAATTGAAACATTTTCAGCCTTTTTATCTTAAATTACAATTTTTTTATCCAGTAGCGGGTGAAGAGGTCTTACAAAATGGCGTCAGTGATGATTTTGTTACATCATCAAATTCTGATGCAAGGCAAAGTAGCAATTTGCCAACTAGAAAGTTGGGATTTGGTCTTTTAGGGTCTGGAAAACGAACTACTGTCCCTTCTGTATTTAATGAGGATGAAGACGAGGAAGCACACAAGGACAAGAAGATGAGACCTCTAGTCCCAATTGATTACTCAACTGAAGAGCAGCAAGTGATTCAACCTTCGATACCTGAAGGCCCATCTGCCAATATCGCTGCTGCAGCAGAATATGCGAAGCGTATTTCAACAGCGAGTGCTAAAGAAGAGAAACCTGACATAGAAAAAGAGAGAAACCGACGTTCTCATGATAGATCCGGGCATCGAGATCGAGATAGAACAGAAGTAGAGACTAATAGCACACGTGAAGAGAGCCGAAAGGATAATTTGGACAGGGAGAGGTCAAACAAGAAGACCCCTGAAAACCAGAAGCTTTTGGATGCTAAGCAGTTGATTGATACAATCCCAAAGACCAAGGATGAGTTGTTTTCTTACGAGATAAATTGGGTGATCTACGACCAGGTAACTAGCTCATGCCTAGAATGAAGTTTCTCATGCCATTCGCATTGAGGTAGTACACTTTGTACTGTAGGAAAGAGTTAGACCATTATCATCTGTTCTTGTTTGTCCCATGCTTGAAATCAAATATTATAATGGAGATTACGATAAAAAAAATATTATAATGGAGAGTTTATGAAGAGATCACCTTTTAGTTTATCAATCTCAGTTCGACTTTTACTTGCCAAACATTTAAGTTGACAATGGAAACGACTGCATGCACATTGTACAATGCATAGGTGCAATTTATGTTGCAATCTATAGTAAAATTGCAACTTCACTTGAAATGGCTATGGAGCTTGTTCATTCTGGGTCTCTTTGAAGCATTTTTTAATTAGGCTGCCAACTTGTTGATTGCTCTGAAATTTATGATTTTACAATGACGGGATAATTTACTTGAATGTGTTGGGATTCCCTTAATGCTGTGTTTGAGAAAAAAAAAAAAATAAAAAAAAATCTCTTCTTTTCAACAATGGGTTAAATATGTAATTAGGTACTCTATCTGTTCATTACGGACCCAGACACTTATCATGATACTCTTTTTTCCCGTCTTTATCTTCTTCAATACTTTACAGAATGCGCTGCACGAGAGAATGAGGCCATGGATATCAAAGAAGATCACGGACTATTTAGGAGAAGAAGAGGTTACCCTTGTAGACTATATCGTGTCGAGCACTCAGGAGCATGTCGAAGCTAGTGAGATGCTCGAGAGACTCCAAACCATTTTGGATGACGAGGCCGAGATGTTTGTTCTAAAGATGTGGAGAATGCTTATCTTTGAGATCAAGAAAGTCGAGACAGGCCTGGCCCAGAGGTCAAGGGCCTGAATAGCATAAAATAAAACTCCTGTGGGCATGGAGGCTTGGTGTGTATTTTACTTGAGCAGCATAACATTTGTTTTTCTTTTTTATTTTTTTCACTCTGTATTAGAGATTTGAATCATCATACATTTTATGGTTTTAGTCCGTTGGATTAGGCAACTTTTTTCAAAATTGATGCGTTGAACTATGTTGTAGCAATTTTGTTGGGGAAAAAATCGTATGATAAGTTGCATCCCACTGTTGAAGGGTGAGGAATAAGTTATAACTTTTGCCACATTCCTTTGTATTGGTTGCCATAATATAAATGCTGTCACTGAGGTTATTATAGCTTTCTATTTTCATCGCTACTTTTTTTTTTTAATCCGTATAGGAGTAGCCTCTTTAATGCTCATTTTGAGGATGAATTGCTAAAACACAACCATTTTTTTTACTACGTACCTCCTCCTTTGGACCGTTTTACTCACGATATTTTTTTATTTTTTAATTTTTTTTTTAAAAAAAAAACCACTGCCGGCCGGTGATTAAGGCCGTGTTTTTTTTTTTTTATCACTTTTTTTTTAAAAATTATGTTAGGATTTTAGAAATTATTATGTTATAAATTAGAATTTATTATCTTATAGAATTTTTTATTATCATGTTAGAACTTAGAAATTATTATGTTATAATTTAGAATTGCATTATGCGATAAATTAGAATTGATTATCTTATTATTATTATTATTATTATTATTATTATTATTATTATTATTATTATTATTATTATTATTATTATGTTAGTACTTAGAAATTATTATGTTATAAATTAGAATTAATTATCTTGTAGAACTTATTAATATTATGTTAGAACATAGAAATTAGCATGTTATAAATTAGAATTGATTATCTTCTAAAATTTATTTTTATTATGTTAGAACTTAGAAATTTTAACTATAAGATAATAAATTTTAATTTACAATATAATAATACCTAAATTCTAATATAATTTATATAATAAATAATAATTTGATTAGTTAAAAATAAAAAATCACGTAGCCGGACGGCAATTGTGGCCGACCAAGGGCCGACCGCCACAGTGAGCGGCCGGTTTGACCGGCCGGCCGCGTGATTTTTTTTTTAACTTTTTGAAAAAATAAAGTGGCAGGGGTAAAACTGTACAAATGAGAGCATTGAACAGTAACACTCTTTATACAATGAAAAAAAATAAAAAAAAAACTCATCAGTTTTAATGAAATTGTTATTTCACATGGATACTTATGAATTGTTGGTAGAAATACCTTATAAAGTTATTCAATCATGAAGTTTGACCATATGTTTGGCTAAAGTATTTATAAATGTTTGAATAAAGAAATATTTTGCCAAATAAATGGAAAAGTATTTTGCATTACTATTAATGTATTTCATACCAACGGATATGAATGTTTTTTATGAAAACGCCAAAACCAAAATGAAAAAAAAAAAAAAAAATGCTTTTGAATCATTTAACATAAATAAATAAAGAACTTGTTCATTTACAACATACATTAGATCCTTATTTAATTACTTAGTGTTTTTTTTTTCCATTAAAGACTCATTTTTTATATTTTTTTGTTGGAATTATAATATGTTATTTCATTCCTTTTATATTACAACATCATTATATTAATTTTAGAAAAAAAAAAATTTAAGAGCTCATTTTCACATTTTATTTTGTTCGTACAATGATATGCTTAATAAATTAATTAATTTATGTTACTAAATTTAATCGGCCAAGAATATTCACCACGACGTGCACTTTACTAGTACATATAAACATGGGTTAATTGAGGATCCTTGGTTCTGTCAGCAGTCACATATTTACCCAATAGATTTACTTGAAGGCAAAAAGCCAGAAAAATCCCATAAATCAATCATAATTGACATTTCTTGTTAACAAAGAAAATTACAATCATGTAACAAGTTACAGCATCCCACTGATATCTAGCTAATAATTGGTGTATGAAAAGAAAAGCATATGTAAAGGGGCAGGCGACATACTTACACACATTTGTTGGCTACAACAAAGCAAACTGTTAAACTAACAGGAGGTTTCCTTATGACTGTCTATACCTGTTTCCTGTGCCTGTACTCGGTTTTATGGGAAGGAAAATAAGAAGAAGCTGCAAAAACGAAGATGAATCTTGATCGTTCAAATCTTTCTCCGCTTGCTACTTCTACTCCTGCTTCTTGGATTCTCCGCAGATTCTGGCTCGGGTGTCTTCTGTGTTGACGAGCTGCTTGGGTTTTCGGGATTCTTAACTTGAGATACATCCCCATCTAAACACTCCATAATTTCCGCCGGAAGAGGTTTATCATAAGAGATAGCTGCATCAAGAGAGTATATACGCAAAGCAAGGGCAGAGAGTGTAGTGATTTTGGCTGCAGTCGAGGGGGATGACCAATACCACCACTCATTTCTCAAGTGCTCGCTTTTAATGGCATCCTCCAGTATCACAGTAGCTTGAACCATCTGAAAGACGAGCAAATTATAAAAAAAAAAAAAAAAAAAAAAAAAAAAAAAAAAAAAAAAGCCCCAGTAGGAACAAATATTTACACTAGTAATTACTCAACACTTGCCAAAATTCCAAGCATACACACATATCTGACTTAGAAATTGGAAATTTAATTAACAAAAGTTGTTCCACCACAGCAGATCGCAAAACAACCGATATCATCAAAACAAAAGATTCATAATTGGTTAGGACAACTAATCTAAAGAATAAAAGGCATATGCCTAACCTCATAGATCGATTTTGCAGATTTAACAAAGGCCCGCCAAGCACGTCTTCTATCTTCATTAGTCCTTGACATTCTTAAAGCATCCTGTGGTAGAGCCGCATCCATATCGAGTAGATTAACCTTGAGAGACCTCAAAATTTCACACGCTCTACCCACTAACGGTCTTAACGAAGATTCACAAATTATACTGCTTTTTGATATCTGGATAAGTGTGCTCCTGTCCTTCAATGTACCACACTTGGGTCTCTCGACATTTGTTCCCTCCTCAGCCAAGCTATTATTCTCAGCACCTCTTGACAATCTGTTGTCCTTTGTGGCAACCACAACATTGGGCTCATTACTCAAGCTCATCTGCTGTTTGCTTCTCGAATCCGGAGGCACATCGCTTGAACCAGCCTCATTCAGCCTTGTAGGACCCAATGTCAATGCAGGATCACTAAAATAAGGGGACCCACTCGGCAAAAATGATGGAACACCACCACTGCCGATAAGTCCTATTTCGTTAACTGCATCCTTGACAGTGCCCGGAACAACAAACCTGGTCAAAATCTCCTCGAGATTAAACGGGCAGTCGCCAAAGTATGGTTCAGAGAAACTGGGCCCAGTATTTTGTTTCTCACTCGTCGATACCTGCAGAACGCCTTTTTCCTGTGAAGCGAAAGCTTTCATCTTCTTGCGCTTCAAGGCATCTTCAGTTATCGGGCTTTTCTGAGAGACTGCTGTACAGTGTTCCTTGACATGTTCTGCAAGTTCATCGGAGGTAAGAAAAGTGTTGTGACAAGACGAGCAATGGGCTTTAGACGGCCACAAAAGTTCCAGGCACTCACATCTATGTATGCTGCCAACCGGACTAAATCTCTCTTCTAATGTAGTAATGGCCTTGGACATAAAAAAATCAGATGAAAAAGATTTATCCCCATTGTGGCTCAGTGATACTCTGCTTAAAATGTGGTTCGCAGTATACTCGGGGTCTCCCAATTTGTTGCTTTGCATCTGTAAGATAGACTCTCGTAATTCTTTCTCCCTGATATTATCGTCTCTTAGCCATCCAACTAGTTTCTCGATTTCATCATCCGAGTCGTAATACATCCACTTGTCAGAATCGGGAATGCTAGTAAATTCTTCAATAGATCTCTCCTTAGTCGAAAAATCCCCACAGGCTACTATCCATGGACGAGCGCCAGGAGAATAAAATGCCCAATAAACTCTGCCGCTGGAATCCCGGCCCAGTAAATCCTTCCGGATGCCCACCTTGAGAAGTTCGGATTCTACAGAAGCTATCGAGTCCTGAAGACTAGATATATCCTTCTTAATGACATCCACCTTGAGGCTGTCGTCTTTCGACAAGGGAACATCGGCTTTGTCATGACAATGATGGCCAGGTGGCGGCATCTGAATGGATAACTGTGCATGGAGCAAGACATTTTCACTTTGGCCCGACGTTTCATCTGAGCTTATGCTTCTATCGCTCCTTGGAGGAGGAAAGTCGAGCTGTTTGTTACAATCGATAGGTTCGCTTGAGGATGGGCCATGGTCCGGTTGAGTCGAACCATGCAAAAGTTTGCTGTCCTTTTCAGGTTGTTTTCCTCTTGAGCTATCTTCAGAGGAAAGCAGAGACGGTGATGTACCGAAATTTGTTTTGCCTACTAAGGCTGGAGGAAGAACTTCTTCCTTGAATTTCAGGAGTTTCAATTCGGAAGTGAGGCAGCGTAGCTTCTGTTGCAAATCAACAGTTCGGGAGGCTGACTGCTCCATGTGGTCACAAACGGTAGCCGAATTTAATGTGTCATCGAATAAGAACTTTAAGAAGAATGTTCTCTGCAATAAGGCCAGCAAAGGTATCAAACAAAAGATGAAGACATAAATTACATGCAATAAATCATGTGATTGCACGCAGACACAGACACACACACACACACACACACACACACACACACATACAGGGATTACATTACAGGATAACCACCCAAATAATTAGAAAATCAACTCAATGTTTGACTGAATTGCAGAAAGAATCCCTAATCTGTAGATGCACCCTTTACATCTGCTTATCTTTCACAAATTGTGCCTTTTCGAGGGGAAAACTGTTGGGTAAAATTTAACCTCAAAGTGATGTTATTCATAATTCCTAACGTTAAGTGGAGTTATCTGTAATTATAAGTCCGTGCTAGTTTCTCTATTTATCACACATACTTTCCATATTCCTCCCATGACTCTACACAATATGAAGAAACACAAGATGCGAATACACACCTCCTCAACTGTGAATTCCCAATATTCTTTTACTTCCATCAGTTTTGCTAGCCGAGCCAGTTCTTCCAGAAACTTACGTGTGAACTCCCCCTGATACTTCTTTTTCCTACTTTGATTCGCGTACACAGCGGTGCAAGTAATAGACTGGCCAGCAACACAGGACGGGCAGTACCAGTTTCCTTCTGGAATTCTGACAAGCGGAGGATTCAAGCAGTACCTGTGATACTCGGAATCACACTTATCACACAAGAGGACATTGTCATCATCTTTGTCCATGCCACACACCTTACAGATTCCCTCCTCCCAAGGAGCTCTAGGGATGGAGGTATTACATAACTGAACAAGCAAATCATCCCTTTCTTTTATAGCATCAGCACTTGAGTCGTTCGCGGTTGAACTATTGGCAATTTTGTGGACGAAAGTCAGAACCTGACGGAAGGTCAAACAGGAAAGCATACTTATTGACTTAAATATATGTGTAAGACTGAGCTAGTACAACTAAGCATCTGATTAAGTATGTATATATAAATGATATCTCAAAAGTCAAGGCTCAAAATTCCAGCATGAGGGGCCCAAGATAAACTTTAAGAAACAAATGGAGAACTGCCAATAGAATTTGGCATATGAAAGTTCGACCACTAATCTGCACTTTAATAACAAGTATGCTTTATTTAGTTAACCAAAAAAAAAAGCAAATTTGCAAATTCAAGAATACAGCAAACAGAAGTAGAAATAACCTTCCCGTGCGATCTTGTTTGAAATGAAACCAAGCCTAAAGTTATCAACAAAAATGTACAATAAAATTGCGATCATGCATCAATATGATTATCACGGAACCCTCATATGACGCGAGTAATAACGAAAGTTTACCTCTTTCTCATATAGATCTTCAAACTTTTTAGACAGGCTTTCTGCTACGTCAACTAAGTCAGACCTGTCGCCATAAGCATTGTGTATATTGCGCCAAACCTACAGAACATGCGGCAGAAACCAGACATTTCAAGGTTATGTGGCAAGATGAAAGTAACTTCATATCATTTGAGGCCAATGTATATAGGTCCATTGGAAGATATTTGAATAATAGGGAAAACAAAAAAAGGAAAAAGGACGGTGCATGAATAAGGAAAGAGAGAAAAAAGAAACGACATTTCACGTTTATGTCATTTTGTACCATCTGAGATATTTTGGGCTTTGGATGAAAAATAGTTTGGAATATAATTCAGAGTGGAATTAGGCAAGGTAAAAAAATGATTTCCGAAAGGATGTCTGCAGCCAAAATAAAAGAAATCCATATAAACATCTTCCTAAGCCTTAACACCACTTCAAACCTACTTTAAGCAGTATAGCATACCTCCCTAACATCGTCAACGAAAGCTTCATGTGATCCACCATAAACCCCAGCAGCCAACCTGAGATCAATTGTCCTGAAGTCCAAAGGACGAGATACCATAGCTGGATAGCCAAGAATCCCTTCATCATCATTATCATTAGGATTCAAGATTATCCTCGCCAGCAGATTGCAGAAAACTTTATCTTTATCCAGAGCAGCAGCTCGACGGAGCACAATACGACATTGTTTAGTGATCAAATCAGCCACATTGGTCTTAATCCTAACCTTCTCTTTCTGCTCAACCTTTTGCTCCGGATTTTCTTTTCCCAGATTTTCAAGCACCGATATAACTGCTCTCTGCATTCAATAAGTGAGAAGTGACTTTCACCCAAATGCACTGCTCTTTAAGAAACATTTATGATATTTCTTTCTCACTCTTTTTATTTATTTAAAAGAGCTGGAAAACTTCAAGTATAACAGAGGCATTACCTTAGTTGGTCCCGATGCATTACCCTTGTAAACTGACTTGCTGATAGAGTGTTCCAATATCTTCTTAGCCCATTCAGGAGGATTCTTCTCCAAAGCTTCATTGATACACCTCCTGATCCGGGCTCCAACATTTGTGGGTAACTTTCTCACAGGTTCAAGCACCTGAGCCCACTCAGGAATGACACCATCGTTCACCTCAACGGTTTGCGCACCTTCGACATCAGACTCTCTCTCACAAACAGTAACAACCTCACTTTTACCCTTCATTGGACCAAATATCTCCCTCATAGCATCAGCAAGAACCTGCAAATCAGATGCATTCTCACTTAACTGATTCAAAATTACAGCAAATATGTTAAAAAAAAAAAAAATGCAGGACGATCACATTGCAAAGCAAGTGGCGACTGAACCAAAACATCATCGGTAGGCCTTTGCTTTTGGACACAACTGTACAATTCTGCTAAATGTTACACAAACAATGAAACTCTTATTGATAACCCTTCAGGTAAGGACTATCAGCAAGTCATGGGAAAATCAAGGTTGCAAAAAAAAAAAAAAGGTTCTCAAAATGCAGCCATGATCCCTACAACTATTAGCATAGTATGAAGAAAGAAATGGAAAATATACTTGAAACCAGATTTTCTGCATCCAACTAAACACCACATTAATTGGGTAAATAGACAAAAGTAATGGACAGAAATCCCACCACTGCATCTCCTTCAAGTGCAGCTAATCCCGTAAGGGATCCACAAAGAATTCCACCATCACCACGTAGGCAATGGAAAACTTTCCCACTTTCACGGCTAGCAATCTCAGTAGAGTCGAGATTACCATCCAGACACAACACAGCCAAAATGTATCTACGCGCAACTTCATGCCAAGTCAATCCATTGACAGGCAGCATATCGAGTTTTGATCTCTTTAAAGCAGCCAAACAATCCAAATCCTTCTTCCTGCCTCGTCTCGATTTGGACTCTCCAGCATCAAAATTTGGACAGACATACACAGCAGCTTTTGACAAAAGCTCACTAACAAGCAGCTTAAGCAGAGAGCCAACAATCTTTGCATAAAGGCAACCAGCATTTCCACCCAGACAAGCCTCTCCATCTTCAGAGGCCTTATCATCACGTTGTCCAGCTTTATTTATTGTATTTAACCGTAAGCTGTCTAACCAAGGGCTTACAAGTTCGGATTCAAGTTCTTGCAGAGAAAAAGGTGGTCCAAGCTCTAACACCTCAAGGAAACGCCAGGCAAGCTCCCACACCTGATGATAAATACAGAACAAGTTAAGCTAGCAAGTAGGTCATAGAATGAGTTTTAACATCAAACAAGAAAATGTTTCACAGCACCTGCAAAGCATCTCCCATCAAGTACGAAGGAAGCCGTGAGTTAAGTGGCTTGCCAGTAGGACAAGGATCCCGCTTAAAAGTGCTTCCTGTGCAATATAATTTAGCATTCTTTGAACTTCCAGAGACATTTTTCCTTTCGGCCTGCAAAAACCCACTTCCAACTGTTTGCAGGCCTGTACTGTGCTTTCTATTGTTCAGACTTTTATACTCCGAGCACACAGTAGCTCCAGGAAGTCGTTCAAGTATCTCTTGGACAAAATCAGCATCTAGTCCAAACCTGTCCTGGTTCAACCACGTCAAGAGCATTTGACAAGCCATGTTAAACTCGTTTTCATTCTGAACCACAGGAGGTATGCTGATAAGAGTGTCAATATAGCAATATCTCAACAAAGCATCACCAATATCCAGGTTTACAACCTTCATGCCACGAACATCATGGCTGCAGAAAAACTTAATTGCCCCCTTTTGCTTATACATCTCCTGAAAAGCATACAAAAAGGCCTGAGAGACCATTTCCCACACATAGGATGTTGATCTGCCCTCGACTTGAAATTCCCCAATGACATCACTCAAAGCTACAGCATCATCAGTTAAATTTCCCATTCTCTGAGGAAGGAATTCCAAACCTGAGTTTGAATAATTGCCTTCCCGAGAATTATGAGCCTCATTTTCCTTTTTTGTAGTCGAGAGACAAGTTTCCAGGCATGGCGGGCTATCTTCATTTAGCAGGGTTATTGTGGATAAGCTATCATCATCCAACACTTCCAGCGAGGCTAAATCTCCTTTCCCCACTGTGACATCCGCTTTGCTGGAAGCTTGTTTTCGCTTTGAGAGGATAGTTGAGCCAACTGGGATGGGCTGCTTCGTGCAGGGATGTCTCTGAACCCTGAAAATGGGGCCATCAACACCCCCATCTGCAACATCACATACAAACAGAGAACCAGTTATCTTGTCATGCCAGCTAGATCTATAACCAATGGGCCAGATTTGATCACTATTGTGATATGCTGGTCGTGGATCAATATTCCCAGCTGATAAGAGACAAAAATCCTGAAACTGAATTGGGTAGCCATCCTGAAAAAAAGAAAGGAAAACAATTCAAAGCAACAGTAAATATCACGAAGGGATGTACCTAACATCAAAACATATTCCACTAAAGCCTGGTAAAATGGGTCAATAAATATAGTAAGCATGCCAAACAGCTGAAGTAAGACAAGAGCATAAAGTTGAAAAAAAGAACGGCAACTTGCAAGAAATGGGAACAGGAGAACTTGGCAGAAATACCAAATGTAGATGATTAGAAAGGGTGGTTTTAACTTTTATGCTGTAGGCACTTGAATTCCTCTTTGTTTATCACGCATAATGGTGGAATTTAAATCATAGGGACACATCATTAAACGAAAATATTTTTTTCAATAAATATTTTACATGTAAGGTAAGGTGAACAAGGGCAGTATTTGTAAAACAAAGTTTGTCTAAGCACACACTTACATTAATACCAATGATCAATGAGCCAGACAATACACCCTGTTCGTCACCTCCCCTCGATACCTTCTGTCTTCTTCTCCAGCTCTGTGCTGCCACAAAAGCTGGGGCTTCCTTCCTTGAAGGATCAAATTTGGATCCACCCTGTGTGAAGGGAAATAAGTTACTGCCGCCGTTCTCAGCCTCTCTATCTTGATACCGCACGGGTAATCGTAAATGGCAAGAAACATCCTCCTTTGACCTGAACCTCCTTCCATCAGGTGCAATATAGACAGGAGAGGTTTTGAAACGTTTGTTGCAGAATTCGAATTCAACACGCCAACCTTCGCCAAGAACACCTGATCTTTCAGCAATATACTCCCGAAGAGTTTGTAGGTACACCATGGTTGGACTATTAGGAAGAAGTTCAAAAGGAATCGCTCGATTGGGTCCAAGTCCCCTATCTAAATTGTGAAATCCAGGATTAGTGGATTTTGTCGCAACAGATAAGGTCTTTGGAAGATATCGCCCCAGATCCTCCAGGACAGGATTTATCTGTCTTCTGGTGGCACGATGGCTAGAGGAACCCTGTATTCTGCAAAATTGGAAATGCGCATGTAAGGAAAAGAATTGAAAGAGAAAAAAATATTAATAATTTGTTAAGCACAAGCCAAGCGAACTTGCAGAGATTATTAAATTTTGCAATGGCATGAAACCCCATCACAAAATAATACAACTGGTAATAGTTCACAACACCATTGAAGGGAAAATCACATCATAGCAAGCAAAAGAACTCCAAGTTTGATAGATAACAGGTCAAAACTGGGAAATAATGTAGCTAGCTAAGCATTCATTTCTTAATAGAAAACAGATTCGCGAATTTATTTTTCAACTGAAAATGCATTCAAGTATTTATTTCTAATCGAAAATGTGTTTACTTTTCGATGGAAATTACACTAGCAAGCGAAAATCTTTCTAGAAATGGAAAACGTTAAGCTGTTCTTGCTCTCGCTCTCCCTATCTATCTCTCCCTGTATCTTCCCATTCTCTTCTTATTCCTTTTTGGAGAGGTGGGGCCAATACTAAGTAAATTGAAGAGGGCGGCTACTTTGATGGATGTTAATTATTGGCTTGCAAAAGAGCATGGAAATTACCCAAAAAAAAAAGTTAGAACCCTAATAACATTATTAAAAAAAAAATTAACTAGCATGACTTTAACCAAAACTGGGCCCTACAAATATAACCATAGAACATCTCACAAAAGGAAAAGAGGAAAGAGAATAAATTAAGACCAGCAACATTATGCCGTAGCCATCAAATAAAACAAGAAAAAATCAGGAATGGCATCAATTTTGCAACGTCAAATTCAGGAAAAACTTATAGACCAATAAGGAAATGATAATCTACTAAAATGAGCACATGATTGCAAAAATCTCTTGCTATTCCAATCAGCTATAGCACTGAATCAGCAAAGCATTTGACGGCAGTATGCTTTAACATATATTCCCCATGCATACAAGTTTTGATCAAGGGCGAAAAGTTAGAATCATAAATATTGTTATTGTTTTACCATTAATTTAGTTAATGTCAGCAATGCCTACCAAAGAAATCAAAATTGCAACATTGCATGTAATTATCAGGAAAGAAGTTAGAATCATTCAATTTAATGAGAACATTGCTTGGATCAGAGCCAAATGGGCATATGAGATGCCTATTTGGTCAGGTGAGATAAGCACGTCCTGCTAAGATTCAAGAATAATCAATGTGAAGCATGAAATGCTAAAGCTGAAACACATACAAACCTCTAACTTCCTACAATAACGATGCTTACTATTTCATGATGCAAATCTATTCACATTCATAATAAATCAGGCAAGTCCAATAGGTGAGAATACACGCTTTATCCAAAACATCATCATCATTTATGTGAGAACATTAATACATTGGTATACTTGTATAATACCTTAAAGCAACGCATAAGTGAATGGAAGAGTAGATTAACTCTGGTTAATAGTAGTTCTTATGATGTCACATTTATAGTCTGCCGTTAAAATGGCATCTAAAATTTTTTGAACATATGGGCTTTGGCTGCTGACTACACATTTAAGTGACAAAAATAAGCGGTTTAACTTATTATGAATATTTAAAAAACTTTTAAATAGCACATAAACCTATGTCCCACTGAGATCATAAATAACAATTTATTCTCTTGGCTCAACTCCAATCTTAGTAATGTAACGTATTGAGAAATAGGAAAATTGGGCTTCCTATCGAATTTTAAAATTTAATGGCCAACATCTTTCCATTCAAAGCAACACATAAATGATTAAGATATATGAGGCCCGGCTAAGGCAAGTTTACGGCCCAAAAGTTTCGCAAAGACTAGCCCAACTTCAGAATCACTAACGAAACCCTACCTATAAACGGGGGCAAAGATGGCGGCGCTACACGCCTTCACCAACTCTATAAATAAAGTAGTACATCACAAAACCTCTCACACCTCTCATTCTCCATTTTCCTTATGCCTTTCTCCAACAGCAATGCCAACTGAAAAGTGACCAAAAGTGTAAGTTTTTTTTTTTCTGATTCCTACTTCATTACCTTTCTACGATAGCTAGAGCTTAATACAATTGCAAAGGCTAACCTGACAGGTGACCAATTATGTGATTTAACTTTTTCTGTGCTTTTGCAAGATGCAATGTGCAACCAAAACTCCAATGTAGATACATATGCATGTCTATGTTTATGTATGTGCGTATGTTTGTTTCATTTAGTTTTGAGACGAAGCCGTGTGCAGAAGCAGAATGTAAAAGATGAATCAAAAAGGTAATTCTTTCTCCTATTTTGCTTTACTTCATTTTGGTCCTCTTCTACATCTTTGAGTGTGTGTGCGTGTGTGTGTATAAATTCTTTCATGAAATGCTTACACATGTAACTCATGTTGCAAGGAAATACTGGGGAAAAACAATCAGCTATAAATTTCACAGATCCAAATCGCTCTCAACTAGTGTCTTCCTCATCCATCAGCAGTTTCTTTCATTCAGTGGTGCCTTTCTCAAGGTAAATGTATCTAATAAGTTAAAACATATGACCTTTTTTTTCCTGCTGTTTTTTTATTATTGAGAGCAATAACCTTTAAGATATAACTTATATGATTTCTAAGCACACACACACACACACACAATGATGGAACAAAACATAACTTTTGGGCCAACAAGCAAGCATACTTGAATGACTACATGCATATAGAACAATCTTATTCGAAAAATATCTCTCATATCAACCAGCATAAACTTTAAAGAAACAAACTTTGAAGACACTAAGTGAGTAACGGATAGAAAAGGGAGGCAAACAAGCAATCAAAGAAAGTTCCACCAGATAATAGTAACAACTGAAAAAATGACGTTAACCAAAAGGGAAAAATTTTAGAAAATCAACTTCAATTAAAGAAAAAAAAAAATGGATTACAAACATTGGGTTCGAATTGCCCAACGAAAGTAATCAGAAAAAGTAAATCTCGTACTTGCCACCACCATTCCCATCACGGCCGACCCCAACTGCGACATCACCGCCATCCTCTGCCTCACGCGGTGGCGAGGCGTTGATGTCGAAACGGCCCGCCCCACCTCCGGCACCGCTACTTCCCGCGCCGTTGTTCTTCAGCAAGCAGCGGAAGCACTTGAAATCCCGCCGCTGCTCCTCCGTCATCCTGTCGGGGATCCTCCCAACTGGGACTCCCTTGCGGCAAACCGTACAGATGGAGACATTAGCAGCCCCCACATCGGCGCCGTCACCCGCCTCCCGCGGAGACGGTATCGGCGCCTGATTCAGGTCTATTGGCAACGCCATTCTAGCGCTGCCCCTCCTAATGCTGCACTCAGAATCCATCTATCAAAAAGATTAATTCACAAACAACACTCAAATCAACAGCTCTGGTGAGAAAAACAAAATCAAAAATTCGGTTAAAGAAAAAGATGGGCAGATGAAAAATTGGACGGCCAAGAACATGTTGGGGGCGGGCGAAAATAACGAGAATTGGAGTGTGTGAATGGGGTTTTCGAATGTATCACTGGTTTGGTGAAAGCGGACAATTAGCAGCAAGTGATGACGAACAAATTTGTTAGGTAGACATAAAAATTTCAGAGTTGTAACGTAAGGAAGGGTGCGAGAGAGAGAGAGAGAGGACGAAAGAGAGTAACTATAAAGAAGAGTCTGTTTGTTTGTTTGTCTTTGAATTGAGAATTTACAGTCTACAGTGTGTGTGTGTGTGTGTGTGTCGCGCGGGGTTCTCATAAAATTTGGTGTACAGAGAGAGAGAAAGCAGCCGGGCGGGGAAGGAGATGGCCGATGGGTAGTGCTTAGTACTTAGTAGGGTTTGGGATGACAAAATTAGCCTTGTTTTGGTTGAGGGGTAATTTCGGTTTTGAAAAATTAATGTCTAGTGATGGCATTACCTTTGATCGGTTTTGCTATGGAGCCAACCTTCTATATACGATCACTGTTCTAAAAGTAGGTCTAGGCGTCCACCTAGACTCTAGGCGGTGCCCAAGCGCCTCCGATTTGCACAAATCGGCAGAAAAAATCAGTCAGGCAGCTAAGCGGCGCCTAGGCGGCCTTGTCGTGTATAGAAGGTTGACTCCACTATAGAGCTAACTGTTGGCTTCATAGCAAAATTGTACCCTTCATCGGTTTTTCTATAGAGCCAACAGTTGGCTCTATAGTGGAGTCAACCTTCTATACACGACAAATAAATTTACCATCTTTTTTGATTAGTTAAATAACATTAATATAATTCTATTGATACGGTAGGTTTATTTGTCGTATATAGAAGAAGGTTGGCTCCACTATGGAGCCAACTGTTGGCTTCATAGCAAAATTGTACCCCTGATCGATTTTGCTATAGAGCCAACAGTTGACTCTATAGTGGAGCCAACCTTCTATACACAACAAATAAATCTACCATATTCTTTGATTAGTTAAATAACATTAATATAATTCTATTGATACGGTAGGTTTATTTGTCGTATATAGAAAGTTGGCTCCACTATAGATTCAACTGTTGGCTTCATAGCAAAACCGTACCCTTGGTTATTGCTTTGTCCATTTTTATTTTTTTTTTTTCCTTTTAAGGTTAGTGGGTTAAATTTGGAAATATAAAATCAATTATAGGAAAAATATAAAATAAATTGTGAGAATTTGGTATTATTTTTAATTCATATGTTAACCTTGCCATAACTTTTTAGATAATCTCTGTATATTTTGAATGAATACATATTGTTTAAAAATTTGAATATCATATTAAAAAACAGAAAAGAAATGTACAATATTGGACAGTTTTTGTTCATAAAGTATGACGGATCGATGAGTCTAGCATTTAGATTGTTTTGCAATTAATGATTTGGCAACTATTAGAATTTTAAATGTGAAAATTTTGGTTCATTTGTGGATTTTGCATCTTTTTTCAATAAATTAAGGTAGATAACCGTTTATCTTGTGATTGATCGTTTTACACATAGTATGAGATAAACATTTTTTTTCATGTTACGCAAATTGGTTGAACTTATTAAAATTATAATTTAATTATTTTAATTAAATATTTGTTTGTAATACAAGGAAAAAATATAACTTTTCCATACAAGCTTAACTAAGTATACACTTTTATCCAAAACTATATTCTCGAGTTCTGAATTTATTATCTTTCTTGAAACTATTGTTTCAAGTCAAAGACTTTTCATCATAGTAGTTACTTGCGAGAACATTTTGACACTTTTGCAAGTGATTGGTGCATTTTCAATTCTTATACAATCATTTCGTGTATGATACTCAATGTTGTTGTAAAAATTACATGACTGTTATCTTTAGTCGAAGATGTTGTTATGCGGTTTTTAACAATGTAATTACCGATAGTATTATTGTTACATGCGAGAATTAAACGTAAAATATTCAAACAAACGAGATGTAAGAAGTCGGTTTCTTTCTTTTTTTTTTTTTTTTTGTGAACCGAGTTGGGTTTCTTATGTATTATATAGTAACTTTTTTGGGCTAAAGAAGTAAATTCAACTATAATAGTAACTTTTTTGGGCTCACATTTCGAGATGTGTACGGTCGCATTTAATGCAAAGTATCTTTAAAGGGCAGTTTGTGACAGTTGGGCCCACAAAAATGATGACGTAATATGTGGTACATGCCGAAGCCATGTTGGTACAGCGTCACCTGCTGTGGATTTGAGGACCTCGGTAGTCGGCATGTTTTGTTACCACGTCGGTTAGAAGGAAGCGACTTCGGTTCAGCAGAGTAAATGGGTTTCCCTTGTACGAGGGAGCCTGTATTTTTATTCGGCTCAAACTGAGTTGCAATAAGTTCGTCGCATACGCGCTTAGCACGTGATTAACACATTAGAGCTTGTTTTTGGTTGGCGATTGTCGACTATTACCATGTTGGGAGTCAACAATAATATTTTCCTGGAAAATTTTCATTGAATTTCAGAAATTACAACATAAATATTCCGTTGGAATGAGTTTCCCATTGAAATTGTCATTGGAATTTGACGATTTCAACGGTAGATTATCCAATGGTTAAAATATAAGTGAAAATAAAAAATTCCAACGGAAATTCCTACGCTAGTAAACCATTGGAAAATGGTCGTGAGAATCACTAACTTCCATCTAAAATTCCAATGGAAACCCCATTATATTTTCGTTGAAATTCCCTTAGAATCATTCAAATAGAAGTTATACTATTGAAATATATGTTGAAATATCTATTGGAATATATAATTGTAGACTATCAGTTTAATGTTATTTTCCAGCTCTTTTTTATTTATTAATAGAAAGTGACCGTTGCATTTACATAAACTGAATGTAATAGTATCGTTTTAACATATTTATCATATAACAATTACTACCACTACAAGAAAATAGAGTTCTAGTGAATAATTTTTTTGTCACTATGTTGTCACTATATCTACTGTCACTATATCTACAGTTGTTGTCACTATATATACAACAATTGTAGATATAATGACAATAATTGTAGATATAGTGACAACAATTGTAGATATACTGACTGTAGATATAGCGACAACAATTGTAGATATAGTGACAAATAAAATCTTCACTAGAGCTCTATTTTTTTTGTAGTGTACTACTACTAATTAATTATAACTTCACATAAAAAGTTATGAAAGGTATACACTTATAAAAAAAATTATAGAATTTTTTCTTCAAGTTATTTAATTTAAGCTTAAAAGAATTTTTAATGTTATTTGATTAATATTTTTAGTACCTACTTAGTGTTAATGTCATAGAAAATTAAACCCGTTAAAATAGTATAAACAATCACTATAACAATAATAACTTATTATTTTATAAATTAAGTAATTGGCGAAAGATTTCTTAAATTTGTAAAAGTTATATTATTTATTACTTTTTATGCCATTTATACAGTGATTCATACATAAATAACTTAATATAATTATATTGTTCATTCCCATTAATAATTAAATTTATAAAATTTGATATATGTTTTATATATTTATGGTCATTAATATGATTTTTCATTCATATAATTTATAATATTTTATTTGCATCTCTCCACATACATGATTAATGAAAAATATAATATTATTTTGTATGTATAAACAATGACTAAGTGCCTAGTTACTAAAATGGAATAAATTCAAAATTTAAAACCCATTTAGCCTCATGCAATTAATAGTTAAAAGTTGTATTTGGAGATGTAATCGAATTAAAGTAAATGTTATCCTATTAATAAAACAACTGATTTTAGAAAGTATTCGAAATTAATAAAATTCAACGTCTCTTGGCGTTTAAAAAGGTGCATGTATCAATTTTTAATCACGTCAATTTGTGTGATTCGTAACTATTTTCTTAATCAATTTCCTATATATGGCAGTAGTCTATATAAATTCAAACTTATATCCAAACCAAATCAAAATTATAAATATATTATAATAGTTAATAGCTTTTGTATTAGTTATCAGAGTTTCATATGTGATATAACAGTTAATAGCTTTCGTATTAGTTATCAAATTTTCAAAAGTGATACATGGAATAAATGATCTAATGACAAGTTTTAATTTGATATCTACATTGCATATATAAATAAATTTATATATCAATTGATAATAAATATTAAATTATATATCAATTAATATCGATAAATATTAAAGGTATATTGTATAAGTTAAATAAATTTATATGTCATGTTCATTGTATATTGAATTATAAAAATTGTTATAATACTTGCGGGATAAGTCGTGTTCCTAATAAATATTAATAATAATTTATTATTGTAAAGAAATTGTTTAAAAATTTATTACAAAAAACTTCTCTTTATTTTATTTTCAATTTTTTATTTTTATTTTTTTTTTATTTTTGGTCTGTGGAAGAAAATGATCATTCGAGCAAATACAGTAATTCGTTTGAAAAAAAAAAGAGCAAATACAGTAGTTGAGTAAATGTATGAGTTTTTTTGGGAATAAAGGATTACAATTTTAGTTAATTTTATATATTAAATAATCAATCATTTACTCAATGCTTAATCTAATAATTCAATTGGTTGGTCAAACAATTTTATCCAAATTCGTTAAATGGAACGATTAATATGAGGAATGATATGAGAATGGAATGATTATTCACTTACTCATTCCTTATTCCAGTATTAGTATATTTTTGTGAAATAAATGACCATTGCAATAAAAATTACAAAAACCGTCTTCATTGGATAATCCATTTCATAACTAATGCTAGGTTTTTTCATTCCCATTTATAGGAATCATTTAATAAAAAAGGAATTAACAAATACTAATAAAAAATAAATATATAATATATACTATAAATCATGATTAGATTACATTAAATAAAATT